GTTTATTTATTTTTGGGACAGAGAGAGACAGAGCATGAACAGGCGAGGGGCAGAGAGAGAGGGAGACACAGAATCGGAAACAGGCTCCAGGCTCTGAGCCATCAGCCCAGAGCCCGACGCGGGGCTCGAACTCACGGAGCGTGAGATCGTGACCTGGTTGAAGTCGGACGCTTAACCGACTGCGCCACCCAGGCGCCCCAGAGGTGACCATTTTTATCAGGTTTTGGTTTATCCTTCCTGTTTCTTTTTGAAAAAAACAAAACAAAACAAAACGCGTTTATACGTATTCACGGATCTATACAAAAGACAGCATCCTGCACGTGTTCTTTTGCACTCTGTTCAAAAAGCACATTCTGCAATCTCCTCTAAAGCGCTTTTTACCTTCTGGTATCAGTGGGATGAGAGAACGTTAATAAAAATGTACCAGAGGAACCGCTTATTAACAACAAAAAGCATTCCTGCTAACATCAGTTTTTAGGAATTTTCGAGAAAATGAGGGTCTGAGCTGGCTGCTCTGGGCCTAAATTATCCTCCCAGGGAGGCCGCGGGGTCGGACAGTAATAACCCTCCTGTCTCGGGGACCACATTCTTATTTACTCTGAACACCGGCAAAATTATTTCCGTCGCCGCGGAAGTCTTCAAGGGCACATGGAAGACCTGGGACCTTGGGACGGGGTGACCCCGCAGGAAGGAATCGAGAAGTAATTAACAGGCCGGGCGTGGCTCCACATCCCTTGAGGCAACTTAGCATATGGGAAAGAAGGTGTACAGAAAAGCAAAATGAGGGGGTAAATGTTTATTTTGATCAAGAAATCTTTTCCTTAGGAGAACCTTCACTTACAGGATCCTTTTAAGTGGCATGTTTCTCTAGTGCATCAGAAATGATTCAATCTTGGGGTGCCAGGGTGGCTCAAGTCGGTTAAGCCTCCGACTTCGGCTCAGGTAGGTCACGATCTCACGGTTCGTGAGTTCGAGACCCTCGTCGGGCTCTGTGCCGACAGCTTACGGAGCCTGGAGCCTGCTTCGGATTCTGTGTCTCCCTCTCTCTCTGCCCCTCCCCCGCTCATGCTCTGTCTCTGTCTCAAATAAATATTAAAAATAAAGGAATAAATAAATGCTGTTCGTATTCAAAAAAGAAAATGAAAAAATGAAAACAGCAAGCCCTTCAGTTCAATACAAACAGAGGCCCAGTGAGGAAGGAATGAGGTGAACACACACAAAAGCCAAGTCAAGTGCTGTCCACCCCAGTGGGGTAATGCTAAGAACAAAAAGAAAGAACTCTCCCAACTTGAGGCGGTGGGTTTGTTGCCACGAATGCTATGGAAAGAACACTCCAGTAGCCACAGAAGGGTGACCGGGGCCTCGGGTCCTCACTGTGCGAGAAGGAAGTACAAACATAGGGTGGGGCACGTGAGGACGAGCCCAGTAACACGGGCTTCGAATCGGAGGAATCTGTGTGAACCCACAATGTTAAAAACAAACAAACAAACCCAAATCCTCCTTCTGTCTACCAAAAGGATCGGGAACAGCGACAGCTGAGGAGCACTGAGCACACTTCCCACGCAGCACTGGGTTTCCAGATGGGAATCTAAACGGCCATTCCCCCGATTTCAAGAAGACAGGGCTCCCATGAGGCCTGGCAGACTCTTGATTTGGGGCAGGGAAGGAGCAGAGAGAGCCTGGGCATCATCAGTTCCTTCCAAAGAGGACAGAAGTCCTCAAAGACGGAATAGTGACACGTGGAAAAGACACGGGGGAGGGGCGCCCGCGTGGCTCCGTTGGCTCAGGTCATCATCTCACAGCTCGTGAGTTCGAGCCCCGCGCCTGGCTCTGTGCCGACAGCTCAGAGCCTGGAGCCTGGTTCGGATCCTGTGTCTCCCTCTCCCTCTCTGCCTCTCCCCCGCTCACATTCTTTCTAAAATAAATAAACACTAAAAAAAAAAAAAAAAGACATGGGGGGCTGGTGTGATGGGGCCCTGGCTGGCCTGAGTGGGGACAGTGACCGTGAAAAATCCAGACATAGGGACGTAAGTGGGGCACGGCCGGTCCCGGAGCCCATGGCCACCACTAGGGCACAGGCCCGTTTTTTGGGTTGATCCTCCACTGCCACCATTTTGAAATTCTCTTTTGACAAAGAGCCTCTTGGCGCTTTCCTTTCTGCACCAGGACCCTACAGATTATGTGAACTGGTCCTGGGGACAAGGGGAGGCAGGGAGGTCGCTACTGAAGACTTCCAGGTGGCAAATGTGGGAGGGATGATTCAGCTAGAAAAATCACCGTGTTGCAATCCATACTTGATTGACGCAGAGATCGTCACTGGCTGTGAAAGCTTTGGGGGGAGAGGTCAGGAAACAGACGAGGTCACAGTCTCAGAGCGTCCATGCACTTTGAAGAGGAAACCGAGTTGAATGCTATTAATTACAAAGAGGGAAATGGACCTTTACCGTGAAGAGGTCTGGTCAACCCCGCTTATACCCAACAACCCACCTTGGCTAGTAACAGGAGACACCTGGGTTACGTGGTTCCTGATGAGGCGCAGTGGGAAACACAATGTGTTTGACGCGAATCTAATCGTAAGGAAACACTCCTACGAATCCAGGCCATGGGTCCCTCTATGAAACATGTTAATGTCGGGAAACACAAAGGCAGGGATTGTTCTGGATTCAAGGAGACCGAACAGAATTGACAACCAGGCAGAAGGCCTCGTCTTTATTTGGGTTCTGGATTTTAAAAAGGCAATGAAGGACATTTTGGAGACAATTAAACACATTTCGGTGTGGACTGTAATAGTATTGCTTCAGTGTTCATTTCCATGGGTATGATCAGGATATTATCGTGATTATGTGGGCTCGTGTCCTTGTTCCTAAGAGATACACGCTGACGTATTTAGCGTGTTTAGTGTATGCAACCAACTTTAAATAGTACAGGAAAAGACATATGTCCGTGGACACACACACACACACACACACACACACACACATCATATGATCCAGGTAAAGGGTAAACAAGTGTTCACTATTTGTTTTTCAACTTTTCCAGAAGTTAATGCATTTTTCAGAATTTCTAGAGAAATGTGATTTTCATGGCTATTAGTTCATTTTCAATCCTTCAAGAAACATTTGGCACAAATCTTCTGGGTGCCGTGCCTGACACAGGATTTACAAAGGGTAACTGGGGTGCTCCCTGACACCCGGGCACTTACGGTGTGGCGAAGGAAGACGCAGACATGCACAGCACAGACCACGTTCTGCGAGGTCACGCGGGTGTCACCGTCTGTCCGTTCACCGGGGGCTCACCGCCCCACCGGCTGCTCCCGGAGCCAATCCTGCCTCCTTTCTGTCCGGGCGTGTGAAGCAGACCGTTGTGCACCAGGAATGAACCCTACCTTGATTTCATGTTAGTCTTGACCGAGGCACTTCCACTGGCTCTGTGAGCCGCGAGATCAAGTTCAAACAATGTGGCTCAGCGTACTTCTCACGCACACTTTATGTGTGCAAGTGAGCTTTTGACGGTTCTGAATGGACCGTGCTCTTCCGGACTGTGAGCCCTCGCATGAACAAACCCCTTACCGGGGATCAGACTGCCTGGGGCACCTCAGTTTGTCCTTGGCCGTGTCATCCCAGCTCAGTCTTCCCCAGGGACTGGATTTCTGAGTTTCACCACCCTCTTTGCTCCCGCAGCTCTGCACACACGCACGCATGCACATCCCCACACCCCACCCCTGCCACACACACCCACGTGCCATTGGACCCCCAAAGCCTGACCAGGCCTGGAGCTCTTGGGAACTGATGTTCAGTGTCTGTTTGGACGAGCGACGATACTAGAAAGAACCAACAAGCGCTCCGAGGGGAATGAGTGTTTCTCACATCAGAATAATGGAATCTGGGAATCTCGTGGCAATCAGTCTAAGCAGGCATCAGACGGGGTTTACTACAGGCGTGAAATTAACAGATAAATGCACATTTCATACCCCCAGAGCCATCTTACAGGGCATGAGCTCAGAAATGTGTTTTAGGATGTGAACGGCACCAAAAGCTTCCTCCGGAGTCCTGGGAATTTCATTCAGATTTCTTCCAGTTTTAGGGCTTGTTTCCCCAGCTGCTAAAGCCTGAACGCCCGGTTGAATTCGGGATGAGTCACACCCCATCAAAAACATACGTTACTTCTTGGGTTGCGTTAAAGATCTGGTAAGTTGTTTTAAATTTTTCATTTTTTCGAAGAAAATGAAGTTGAGGTGCATTTTTCATTGACAGTGAAATATATACTAAGTTGTGGATTAATACCTTCGTAAAAATTTATCTAAACAAAGTGCTGCCTGCCGTATTTATGTTGGAGTCCGTCAAGTCTGCGGTGCAAAGGGTAAGTACTTTCCTGGAATATATTTGTATCTGTCACAAGCTACATCTTGAGGAAACTGGCAGGCATTTGAAGTGAAATAACTCCTTAGCGGTCTGTTTAGTTTGGATTTCTTCGACTCGGGGTGGGGGGAGGGGACGCTTGGAAGGCAAAATCCGGACTATCTGCTCCTAACAAGCATCTAGCATTTTCCCTGGCTCTGTGTATCGCAAGTGTTCTCTAAACGCCTGTTGGGTTGGGTAATCTTGTTCATCCTGTCTTGGGGCTGTTGGGGTTATTCTCCTCTTACATATGAAAGAATTCTCAAAGGAAAGAGCCTCTAGAATGATCTCTCTACGAGCAGTTTCTCTCCCCCTCCAACTCCCTGCACTCAAACCTGCCATAGCCGGCTTGCTAAAAGCGTGGCTTGGATCCTTCCGCGGGCAGAAGTCTCTGGAGTGAATCCCCGGCTTACAACCGCAGCCCTCTCCTTCCCTGTTCCCTGGGACCCTCTCATCTCCCCC